GGCCCCCCCCCCCCCCCCCCCCGCACCTCCACGAGGGAGGAGGGAGGAAAAAAGCTGCAGCTGGAACCACCGATGGAAAACCAGCCTTAATCTCTAGCAAGCCCCACTATCAAAGCTTGGATCAGCATATCTAATGTAAACGAGCTTTCGCACACAAATAACGTGCCACATCTGGCCCCTGGGGGTTTTACAGTGTCTTAGCTACAGAGCGATTTATGGGAAGGTGCGCTTCTCAAAAATAGGAGGGGGAGATTTGGATGGTGGGTCAGCAAAGCTGGATAAATCTTCAAGTTTAGGTGGCGGCTATGGGAGAAACCGAGTCCAGAGCAGGGAAAGAGAGAAAGACACATTACTGTTGGAGACCTGCAGATCAGACGGAGGAAGTGGGGCGGGGGCGGGTTGGGAGTTGTAGGTCCATCTGCTTACTAGGAGCAGAGCCGTGTTGGTAGTAGTTGATAGAGAGAGCCATGCAGGAACAGGCGTGTTTGCGCTTCCAACCAATTTATTACCGATGAACATATGGCCAATATTTTGTCCCACGTCAGAGTAGGAAGCAAAACAAACAAGATCGCGTCGTCGAGAAGAGAGGGAGGCAGGGAGGGAGGGGAAGGGAAAGGGGGAGAGGGAGAGATGCAGCGCAGCAGCCCCTCTCCTCAGCCAGCCCGGCTCGTCAAGAGCCTGCTGACTGATCTGAGACAATGTGAGGGAGCGCAGTGAGAGGAAGGAGTCCAGGCTTCTGGGGTTGCTATATAAAACGCGGCAGAAGCGGCGTACTCTTCCACGCGAACACCAATATACCCACTCATTCCACACGCCCGCCAGCGAAACCCTCAGGCCGGCACTCGCTAGCCCAGCCTCGCCCTGAACTCCCTCATAAACGCAGGCGCTCAGCCGCGCAGGAAGGGAGCCAGGAGACTGGCAAGCAAGACGAGGATACAGCGAAGCAGAGGCGCGCGCCACGAGGCAAAGGGTTCCCCGCCAGGTGAGGCGCTTCTTTCTCGCATTGAGGGGAAGTGGGGGAGGGGTGCGCGCGCGGGTTCTCGTCCCGTGACACACCGACACGGCTGCGATGGTGGAGTATCAGGATGAATCGGGATGGGTTACCACTGCCCGGCCAGAAAAATAACTTTGATGACCGACCGTAAAAAGACGAAGGTGCGCTTAGAGTGCCCCTGAGGAATCTTGCGTCTATGGAGAACGAGAAGGATGCGCGGGAGGGGGGGCGGGGGAGCCCTGTGTGCCCCTGGCCAGCGTGAGGCGCGCGGAGTT